AGCTGTGGAAAAAAGAAAAGAAAAAAAAAGAGCGCACAGGCATTAATCAGTAATCCCTGGGAGCAGCCTGGAACTTCAACTCCGCTTGGCAAGTTAAAGAGCTACAAGTTAAAGCTCCAACAAACTCTTTTAATATTTAACCTGAGCTTTAACTGGAGACCTCTATTCCTTTTAGCTGATTAATTGACTAATTAATCCTCAAATCTCTGATTAGAAGTAGGAATTGAAGCATCTTCCCAGCTCTCTTGGCCCACAGGCTGGTTGTGTGTAAAAGTGGCCGTCCAAACTAGGCAGTTTCCACGTAAGAGGAGTTGCTATCCATGGCGGGGTGGGGGGGGTGTGTTTGAGCTTAAACTTGGACATTTCGTGTTTGTTGCACACTCCTTTTAGCCAATGGCATTGCAAAGGCTAACCTCTACGAGAAACATTATGTGTTAATAACCACATTTGCATAGGCTCAATTCCTCCTCCCCACCTCTCCCCTCTCCCTGCACAATTTCCTCAGGGTGATAAATGACCCAACAAAGCCTAAAGTCTGAATGTGTTTCGAGTGGCCTCCAAATGTCTGCTCAAAACTGTGGGTTTACAGCATAGTGAGTTAGCTTACAGCTCATCTTTTTTTTTCTGGCTCTGTTGTCCGGGCTAGAAGTGCGTGGCATCAGCCTAGCTCTAACTCCTGAGCTCAAAGGATCCGCCCGCCTCAGCCTCCCAGAGAGCTAGGATTACAGGCGTGAGCCACCATGCCCGGCTTATATATATATTTTTTAGTTGGCCAATTAATTTCTTTCTATTTTTTTTTAGTAGAGATGGGGTCTGGCTCTTGCTCAGGCTGGTTTCGAACTCCTGATCTTGAGCGATCCTCCCGCCTCAGCCTCCCAGAGTGCTAGGATTACAGGCGTGAGCCACCACGCCCGGCCTACAGCTCATCTTTGTGCAGCAGATCTGCAAGGAGAAGGGAGCTCACGTTCACGGAGGCCAGCAACTGTGGGCACCACACGGACAGTCACGGTGCCTGCCCTGCCCAGAGACATTTTCTGTTGCAGTGTCCACAGCTCCTGGAGAAGGAACAGCCCTTCCACCCAACACCTTATCCTACTCAGAGGGCCAAGGGTGGGTGCCTGACCCTTGAGTAGCCCAGGATAGGGTGGCCAGCTTCCTGCCCTCTCAGCTGATCCAAGCCTGCCCAGGAGAAGCCCCAGCTGCCCCACCCCACACAGGTGGTCAAATTCCTACTCCGGGTAGAGCCCAGTAGGAAAAGAGTCTTATGTACACCGCAACAGAGTGAAACTGCACCAGCTCCTGGGCCTTTTTTCTTAAACATGAGCAGAGGGGGCCTGGGGGGCATGCCATCGTCCCACATAAAGACCTTCAGTCAATCCCGGTCTGTCTGCCCACTCCTCGCTCCCACCTCCTTTCTTACCCGACCCCATCCAGCAGCAGGCTGGGGCGCCTCCTCTCCGGCCGACATCAGACTGTAGGCTGCAATGTCTCTGCCTGTTTCATCTGCCGACTCTCTGCTATCGGCTTTCCATCTTCCAGAAACCTGTTGAAATCTCTCATTTGTGATTTTCCTTCCGCTTACAACTCCTCCTCTATCCCTTTTTCTTTCATCTTAATTTCAATGAGGTCTCAAATAACAAGGGAAGCCAACTCTGCACCTGATCCGCTGTTTTGAACCAGAAGCCCTCAGATGTCTCTCTAAGCAACAAGAACTGGTCAAGTATCGGAAAGTCTGAATCACTAATTCCAGTTCCCACCGTTTGCTTAAATGGGAGGGGGAGAGGGTATAGGACATTCTTGTTTTACTGCATAGGGTCAGAATTTTTTTACAATGTTATAAAATAGGCCAAACCAGCCATGATCTAGACATGCCAACTCTGAGGACCTAAGATATTTTATTTCCGAGTAAATATTGCAAAAGAGTTCTGTAACTCATTAATTGTCCTTAATGAATAGTGGTGACTTTCCCTTACGTTTTCTTTTCCCCTCTCAATGGTGAAATCATGAAACCAAATGCAAAAGCTTGGACACTTTGGAAAAAGATAATAGCAACTGTATGGGATATTATGGTCCAACATTATCAGCACTAATAGCACTGTGGCTCTCTCAAGTTACTGATTAAAGATTAAAGATAGAAACATGGCTTGCTTATGTTTCAAATGCTGTCTCATTTGTCAGCGGTCCCCAACCCTTTTGGCACCAGTGACCGGTTTCATGGAAGATGGTTTTTCCATGGCTGGGGGATTGGGCAGGGGGTGGGGAGGTGGAGCTCAGGTGATGACGTGAGTCCTGGGGAACGGCTGTAAACATAGATGAAGCTTCGCTGGCTGACCCACCGCTTACCTCCTGCTGTGCGGCCCTGGTTCCTAAGTTTCATGGAAGACAATTTTTCCATGGATGGGGGATGAGGGTTAAGAGGTGGGGGCTAGAAGGGGAAGCTCAGGCAGTGATGCCACGGCCCAGTTCATAACAGGGCAGGACCCAGGTAGTAGCAGGCTACGTCTGGAGGGTTGGGGACTATAGTCATTTGTCACCTGAATATAAATACTATCTTTCTGTATATTCATAATAACTAGTACCTACATAACACATATCTTATTTAATGGGTTGTGGTGTGTCATGAATGGTGGAAAACTATCGAGGATCTGAGCAGAGAGAATAGACCCCAGGGGCCTGAAGAAGGGGCACTTGAGTGGGGCTTTGAAACAATGTGGGTGGATTTGTTATAAGACAGGACCACAGGCTGCGGTGCACATGGACCAGCTTCATCTCCAGGTGCCAGGCTAGTTCTGTTACCAAGGAAAACACCGCCATGGACCTGTCTCCTCCTGAAAGTATCATAAGTGCAGTTCTCTTCCAAAGTTTAATTTGTTTACAGAAAGGAAGTTCTTATTTTCCAAGAGTCAAGCAGACAGCTCCCAAGCTGGGCTTCGTCGTCCATGCACCATCACCAGCACCCACCACCACTGTCACTGCGCAGAGGTGTCGCCGCCGAGATGTTTCTTAATAAGGAGTAGACCTCATTTTCCTTTTTTTTGAGACAGAGTCTCACTCTGTTGCCCAGGCTACAGTGCCATGATGTCAGCCTAGCTCACAGCAACCTCAAAACTCCTGGGCTCAAGCAATCCTGCTGCCTCAGCCTCCCGAGTAGCTGGGACTACAGGCATGCCCCACCATGCCCGGCTAATTTTTTCTATATATTTTTAGTTGGCCAATTAATTTCTTTCTATTTTTAGTAGAGATGGGATCTTGCTCTTGCTCAGGCTGGTCTCGAACGGCTGACCTTGAGCAATCCGCCTGCCTCCACCTCCCAGAGTGTTAGGATTACAGGCGTGAGCCACCACGCCCAGCCAGGAGTAGACCTCATTTTCAGTTCTCCAGTATTCCTGGTACTTTGCTAACTCCTTGGGACAAAGATTCTTATTTATTTCTACAAATGGTCTTAGGGGCATTAGTCATGGGAAAAGGTTAGGTTTTTTTGATTTAATATTATGGGAAGCTTCTAATAAAATCAATCTGGGTTCATGGCATATCTGATGGAAGCCAGGTCTACAAATGTAGTCAATTTTAAATGTACTCTCAAAGTGGAAAGAACACAGGCTTTGGCAGTATTTCTACACTGAAGCAGAGCTAACTAGACAAGTCTGGGGAAACAGGGCTGGAATCAAGAGTGGCCAGAAAAAATCGGCTGCCCTGGGAGGTGAACACAGGGAGCTGTGGATATATTTGAACTATGAGTCACATGACGAGACTCTACTTAGCCAGAAGTAAAACATGTTTTCCTTTAAATGATTAAACTGAGTTGAACTTATTCAAGAAAAAATTTCTTTTCCCTCTGAATTTTTTTTCAGGCTTAAAGTGTTTCAAGATGAGATTTGTTTTCTTAAAGAGAAAACTTACATCAATAGCTTCCAAACTAGATACATCTGGGGATTTAGAACTCCCAAATGACATCTAATGTGTTTGTCCCCATGTTCTACATTTGCATGGTTAAGACAGTACATCAAAAAGGGGTAGGGTCACTTGGTAAGTGGGCTGCAGGAATAAAAAAGGGGGTGGGATGGTTATAAGTGCTTTCTTGTTCTCTAACAAAAATAAATGTATATGGATCTGAGTCCCATATTTATTCCATTTTCTTGGGCATAAAATTTTTAATGCCTACTCCTAAAATCATAAAGTAGCAAATTTTCAAGTCTATGGTTGGGAAAGTTTAGCTAAAATTCCATTTTCACAATTATTCTACAATCCAGTCAGGATCTGATTAATGTGAAGTCAAGATACGTGAGTTAAACCCAGGACATTTGAATTGCCCTGCTTTGGAAAGGTTGGATTTTAGAGGAAGTGGGGAAAGGAAGGTCTAGGTAAAACATAGGAACAACCAGCAGTAAGGACCCCTGAGTTTGAATCAGACAGCTTTGGAGTGTTTCCTACTCCTGGTTTGAAGTTAGTTCACTTAAAAATAAGAGGGTAGTTGTTGTTTTTAAACAGTATCCAATGACCAAAATCTAGCCATATGACCAATACCTACTGGTATTTCCTTTTGCTTTTTTCCTTGGGGGGGGGGCTGCTTTTCCTCTTTTCCTCATTTAAAAGTTTCTTTCCCCAAAAGTGATTCCTATTTTGGGGTTTTGATGAGACTCAGCATTCTCACGGGAATCTCAGACGGGGCAAGGGAGGGAAGGGAAGGCTCGAGGGCTCCTGGAGGATGGCCCTCTCCCCTCCAGTCCTGCCTGTGTGTGTGTATGTGTTTTGGGGAAGGGGGACAGACATTTAAAGGCGGGAGGTCAGGGAGGTGCGAGGCCCTGCGCATTCATCTTACAAAGCCCCTCAATGGTATTTCTACCACCCTGGCCCTCCCCAATTTAACATTTGAGGGCTCTGAGGTTGGGAGAGGAGAAGTAACTGGCCAGTCTAGGGCCAGCCTGGGACGTCACCTCCAGACTCTCCCCACCGCCCCCACAGGCCTGTAGGCTGGTGTGTGCCCCGAGGAGTTTCCGCAAATGAACAAAACCCGGCTGGGGTCGCCCCGAGCGTGTCGCAGCCCGAGTGCTTTCAGTTACTCCAGGCTGCGGGGACAGGGTAGACGGGAGGGTCGGAGCCGGGGCGGCCGGCGGCAAGGAGCGGGCGGCGGGGAGCGGGAGAGCGGGAAGGAGACCGAGGAGGGGGCCGCGCGCGCGCCCCAGAGCCCTCCTTGCCCCGAGGCTTCGCCCTCGCCTCTCCCCGGGGCCGGGTTCGCGCCCCAGCCCTCGGTCGTGCCCTCACGACCTGGCCCAGTCACGCCAGCTTCCTGGGGTATTGCCGCCCCACCCCAGCATCACCCACGCGTCACCCCCGGGTTCGCAGCCCCCCGGCCGGCCGGGCCGCGCCCCCAGCTCCACGCCCCGGCGGCGCCTCCGCTTCTAGGCCGCGCCCCCGCCGGGCCTGCGAGGCGCAGGGCGCGACGGGCGCGCCATGGCAGCGGCAGCAGCCGGAGCGGCCGGGCCCTGAGGCGGCGGCGGGGCCCGAGAGCCGGCCGGCGAGTCCCTGCGCCGCAGCCCCGGAGGGCGGGACCGAGCCGCGTGTGTCGGCGACTGGGTCGGCGACGGCCGAAGCCGCGGGGGCAGCCGCGATGGCGACCCAGGAGGCGGCCGGTCACGACCCTGGCACCGCGGCGCCCCCCGACGGCAGGAAAGAGACCCTGCGCCTGCTGGACGAGCTGCTGGCCGAGTCGGAGGCCTGGGGCCTGGTGGAGCCGACCCCGCGCGGCCCAGCCCGGCCCGGATCTCGCCCCGCCACGGGCGCCGGGAGCGCGGTGAGTGTGGAGTCGGCCGGGCGCCCCGGGGGGCGGCGCAGGACCCCCACCGCGGGCCGCGCCCTGGTCGCTCGGGTGCGCGTGCTCCTGCCCGCAGCGCCCCGCCGTCCTGCCTGCCGCGCCGCGTGTCCTCCTCCCAGCCGGGCCCCGCATCCCTGCGTCCCGCGCAGCCTCCCCGCCCGCGCCGCGCTCGCTGAGGCGCGTGTCCCCACGGTCTCCGAGTCCCTCCGAGGACTCTTGCCGAATCACACGGCCTCACTTTCCCCACTCGATTTCTCCCACTTTGCCTCCTCCCTGGGTGCGGGTCTGTCTCCAGATTTGGGGTGCTAGGAGTAGCACCTTAAAGGGCAGAGGGACAGACGTCCCTGGGCAGAAACACGTGCCGTCTCAAGTTCTCTTCTCGGCCACAGCTCCCTTTCTTTCCCTTTGGGACCCGCGTGCCCGCCCTCGGAGTGCAGCCTCCTGCAGCCCGGCTGTGGGCTGGCCAGCGGTGCTGGCTTCTTCCTCACGTCCCTGGCCTTGGCCCTTTCCGGGGACACTGGTGGAGCAGGGTGCTAAGTGGGTGGGACCGACGGCCACACAGTGGTTCAGAAGGCCCTGCTGCGTCCGACTCGTCCGGACCTGTGCCTTGCTTTTCAGACAATTCTCATATTCCTGGCGATTTTTGAGATGCTGTGGAATCTCTTTTGAGCTTCCTTTCTCTGTATTCCAGAACACTTGTAATGACAGACCTTCTGTTCTAAAAAACAATAAAAAATGAGCACTCTGGCTTGGCAACAAGCAGCCTTTGCTCCAGCTGAGCTGAATGAACAAGATCCTTAACATCAGCTCCTGGGCTTGAGGAGGTTGCCAGAGGCAGCGTCCTCCTCCCTGAACCTCGAGTCCGAACAACTTGGGGTGGAGGGAAGTGGAGGGAAGTGCCTTCCTGGGCGGTCACCAGGGCTGGGATCCTGAAAAGGCCCCAGGGAGGGTGGGGAGGGGGACAGCCCAACCCCACAGTGCACAGAGCTCTCTCCCTCCTGCCCCCATTCCCTGCTACTACTACTCTTCCCCTGGTTTTCGAAAAGGAAAAGTGAGCTGCGGTGAGTAGGACTGAATTATATAACAAGATTCCTTTAAGACTACATCAGCCTGCAGTTATATAACACTAAAAATGGACAAACAGTTGAGAGATTTGGGGAAAATTCTGTCACAGCAAGGAGGCAATTACTTCTAGTGTTCATTTTCAAATGCTTTGGAAACTCAGAGGTGAAAATGAGAGGAAAACAGCAAGAGGGGATGTCTTTCCCTCTGATTCGCCAAATGTCATGGTGACTGCTCATTTTTTCAGTCATTTTCCAACTACTGTTTGAGCAACTCTGGGGCCAGAGATGTGGGTAGATGTGGCACACAGCCTTGGCCTGAAGCCACCTGCAGCCTGACCTGGGAGAAAGACCTGCAGACAGAGCGCAGTGTGGCAAGAGAACCATATAAAGGGCCCACGGGAGTGCAGCTAATCCTGGGAGAGGCAGGTGGACATCCCAGGAGGGCCACGGTTGACCTGAATCCAGAAGGGTCTGTGGACATTCACCGGGCAAATAAGAGGGGAAGAACATTCTGTGCAGAGAGACCCTCACAGGCAAAGCCGATGGTGGCCAGGTGGCTGGTGAGCGGGGCATGGTTTAAAGAGGTCTTAAGAGTGTATGCCACACCATGGGTGCGTCACGGTAGGGGTAGTCCACTTCAGGAAGTTTGCACTTTGCTGTGAAAGCTGTGGGTATCTTTGAAGGGTAAGGGTCTTGACCGTTTGTGTTTTAGGAAGATCACACCAACAGCTGTGGGGAGGATGAACTGGGCAGAGTAAGATGAGGGGCGACATGATCACCTGGGGCTACTGCAGCATCCAGGTGGTCAGGTCCTGAACCGAAGCAGCAGCCTGACGGGCTTGCAGAGGAGCTGGAGTCAGGGTATTGTGGAGGTGAGGTCAGCCAGCTGTGGTTTCCCTTTTGAGTGCACGTTGTATTTATCCTTGGCACCGGGAATGTTTCTTGAATAAAGGAATAACTCCTAGAATCATAGATTATTAGAGCTGTAGGGGAGCTCTTGGACCCAATTCATTATTTTCAGGCCTGGGGAGACAAAGTCAAAAGGTGGAGGCCTCATAATTTACTGGCTCTAAAGCTACTGCCCTTGCCCTTGATTTATGCTTTCATCTTTACCGATTACATCCCTTCATTGATTCTCTCTGCAGTTGCACATTTTGTGAGACTCGGAGTTAACAAGACACCATTGAGCTAGGAAAGAGTTGGGAGACTGGTGAGTCAGTATCAAAACCCATACATAGAAGCTGGCCTTTCTTCAAAATGTTGGAAAGAATGTTCCCAAGAACAGAGAAAAGGCTGCCTGATTAGGGGTATAATAATACTATTTTTGTTAATAGTTTCTCTTGGAAGGAAGACAGAAAACCTTCCTTAGGTTCATAACTATCTAGCATTTGGGGGGAAAGATGTATTCTTCATAAGCAAACATCAAACTTGAGTGAAAATTATTCTTCTTTTTTTTTTTCTTTTCACAGACACTTATGTGAAAATTATTCTTTTAAGTATCTACATTTAAAAATTTTAACCACTGTTGATTCAACTGTCTTAGAGATTGTTTATGTATATGCTTGAATCATCATTCTGAATATTATGTATTACACTTGACTATGTTCAAGAAATAAATGTAGGCCGGGCGTGATGGCTCACCTCTGTTATCCTAGAACTCTGGGAGGCTGAGACGGGCGGATTGCTCAAGGTTAGGAGTTCGAAACCAAGAGCAAGAGCGAGACTCCGTCTCTACTATAAATAGAAATAAATTAATTGGCCAACTAATATATATAGAAAAAATTAGCCGGAAATGGTAGTGCATGGTGGACCTGTAGTCCCAGCTACTCGGGAGGCTGAGGCAGGAGGATTGCTTGAGCCCAGGAGTTTAGGTTGCTGTGAGCTAGGCTGACGACACGGCACTCACTCTAGCCTGGGCAACAAAGCAAGACTCTGTCTTAAAAATAAATAAATAAAATAAAGTTAAAAAAGAAAGAAATGTAGCTGGCATCTTAATGAGCACTTGGGTCTCAGACATGTATGAACTGTTTTCCTCTTTGCCATTATTACTGTCCCTTTTTACAGACGAGAACAGGGAAACTGGCATAGAGAGGCTGTGGGACTTATCCAAAGCCCCACACTTATGGCAGAGCAGAGATGAGAACCCAGACAGTCTCACCCCTGCACCCTTACCCAGTTGGCCCCTGGCAGCTGTGCTTTTTGCTTGTCATTGCTTTTCTGTCCTTAGTTCTTCCTTGTCACTTTTTACTGTTGTCAGCCTACATGCAACCAGCCCACCTTTTCTTGATCCCCCAGCGCCCCCTGCCCTAATAGATGCCCTTCTGAGCCACCTTGTGTTTGGGAATCAGGTGAGCACCGTGGGGGCAGCTCTGTTTCACAGGCCAGAACCTCTGAGTCAAGGCCTGGGGGAGACTCTTCGTTGGCCTGGAGAATCATCGTTTTGTGAATGAGCTTTGTGGCAATTATTGTAGTGGCTCAAGTGTTCTTTTTCTCTTATTTTTAAATTCTTTGTTGTTTCCCTGATATAGTTAAGGTTGCTGGATAAGAATGAAGTGTTGCCATATTCTGCTAAAACTGGTAATAATTTTTTTAATTAATTTTTTTTTGAGATGGGGGTCTCACTATGTTGCCCAAGCTGGCCTTGAACTCCTGGGCTCAAGTGATCCTCTCACCTCAGCCTCCCAAGTAGCTGGGACTACAGGCACATACCACCATGCCTACCTTCAAATTAACCTTTAAGAAGTATTTAAATGAAGAATTTTAAAAACTCTCTAACCATGGAGTTTTTCAGCCATCATGGTATACATGCCCCATATTGGATAAATTTTCTCTTACGTTTTGGCAGAAGCAGCTTTCAGTTAAACTCTTTTTTGTATGTGAACCGTAAAACTTTGTAATGAAACACTGAGTAACAGGATTTTCACTCTGGATCATAAGCTTAGGAAAAATTATGAACAGATTTGATGTAAAATACAAATGTGTAGGATAAGGTTGTCCCTTCTATTGGGCTTACAAATCCCCATAACCAGGAAATTTAGGATCACATGGGAAAAATGGGATTAGTAGACCAAGGCCACTGGTAAATGTGTGACAGTCTGTGTGTGTCTGTGTTGACATGCACTAAAATACAGCAATTGAGACAGTTCACCAAATAAAGAGAACATCAAATGATATTCCTGTTTTCCAACCCAGTTCCATAATGCAAATCAGCTAGAAACAGTTTTTCCTTTTGTGCAGTTTTAAGTTTGAGTACATGTTCACTGGAGACATGCTTGTGAAGATAATTTAGCTTTGTTGCAGATAATATGTATACTAAAAAAAGAGAGGGAGAAATGAATTTGTTGGGCACCAATTTTGTGTTAAGGACTGTATTCAGGGTATTTCATATTTATTATCTTGCTGCTTTCCCCTTCTGATAGCCTTTAGAGGTGAATATTGCTTTCTCTGTTTTACAGATGAGGCCATTTCGGCCCAGAGAGATTCATAACTTATCAGGTCACACAGCCAGTACTTGCGGGAGTCAGAATTTGTACACAGCTCCGCCAGGCTCCAGCCCTAGACAACCCAACATGGTCCATGTCTTTTCCATTTTCCTACAGATGTTCAAGTCAAAAGGCAGATCCAACACTTCCAGCCATTCTACTTACAATAAAGACTTCCCCACTGATCTTTCCTGTATGATATTTAAAAATTCATTAATCCCTAGTGTTTAGTAATTCTGTCACTTTTACCTGGAGCAAATTTATCCAGAACTCTTATTTTGTCTGTTACTACGCTTCTTTCCCAGTAATACCAGTTGAATGTTCCCCCCCAGCCTGCTTATTCATATGCTTATATGCTGAGGGCTCATACCATGTTTACTAAAGTTGTGCAGGTTTACAATTATTTACTTCCTGTGCTGTATCCCTAAATGGT